TGCCGCTTTTTTCCGGCTTGGAGATAAGCCGGAGAAAAGCGCCAGTCTAGATGTGATTCTCCGGAAAATAAAGCCTTTTATTGCTCTATCCCCCACCACACTGCCCCCTCGCACTGCAACTTCCTGGCTGTCCATCTTCTGCCATCTCCTCTCTTCCCCCATCACCTCACTCCTGGGCACAACCATTCACCTGCCTCCTGGCACCCCATTGGACTGGCACTGCACTGGTCCATGCCCCTGGTACCCCACCCATTGGTACCATCCTATTCCACTCCTGCCCTTCTGGGACCTCACCCCCAAGCACCTTCCTCTCAGCTCACACTGGCACCCCACCCCTGCGTGGCACTAATCACCCAGCACTTCAGTCTGCATAGCATTTCATCCACCACCACTCAGCACCTGTGGCAAATCACCGCAGGATCCCAAACCCCAAATATTTCCCAATCCAACACACACAACCCCTGCACCTGTGACACTTCCTGGGGAACCCAGGACTGTGAGGCATCTTGCATCAACTTGCCCTGAGTGTGAGGACCCTTTTCATAGAATCCTGGAACCCAGGGTTAGAAGGGACTGCATGAGTCAGTACCACTCAGCACCTGTGGCAAATCACCGCAGGATCCCAAACCCCAAATATTTCCCAATCCAACACACACAACCCCTGCACCTGTGACACTTCCTGGGGAACCCAGGACTGTGAGGCATCTTGCATCAACTTGCCCTGAGTGTGAGGACCCTTTTCATAGAATCCTGGAACCCAGGGTTAGAAGGGACTGCATGAGTCAGTTACGTTAACCCCCTTCCCCCCTCCCCCTCCACCCTCACGATGCAGGATCCCTGTAAAAATCCCATGAATCCCCTTCATCAGTTGACAGCCAGAGCTCCTGGGGTCACAGCAGCCCAACACCCAGCACCTACCACCATAACCCACTCACCCCTGGCATTCCCTCACACATGAGCCCCCTCCCTTGGCATTACCAGCTCCCAGCACCTTGTCCCATAGAGTTACTCTTTGGTCTTCCAATTGCATGACCCAAGCAGGGCCAATTTAAACGGCTCTGACATATGTGGAGATTTCTTGCAGGCTGAGTTGGCTTTCGAATGCCTGAACACACAGAACTGAAAAGCAAATCAAGGAAATGTAAAACTCAGGATTTAGAGCCCCCATGAACACTCAGAGGAAACTCCCTGCAACTTTATTGTTCACATGCCCAGCGCTGGCCGCCCCTGGCAGAGGCTGGTTAAACTGCACTCACTGGCATGGAGACTTCGCGTATAACTCCACCTGCACCTTCTCCTGCGAGACGGGCTTTGTGCGGCGTGGAGCGGAGATGCTGGAGTGCACGGCCCTGGGACAGTGGACAGAGCCAGCCCCGCGCTGTGAAGGTACAGTACAGGCTGCCCTGCAGGACTGGCTTGGGGAAGCTGCTTCTGCTCATCCAATGGGAAATTCTGGGACAAATTACACCGAGTTGGCCTTAGGAGGCCTAAACGCACAGAACTGACAAGCAGATCAAGGAAATGATAAACCCCCGTGTTCAGAGCCCCCGTGAACACTTCCAGGAAACTCTGCAGCCACCCCGCTAAAGTAAGAGCCTCAGCTAGCCTTATGCATAACAGCATGGCAAATCTCTGACAGCTGGAACTACAAGAATTGATTTGCAGGGTTGGGTGTGAGGCTATTGCAGAAATACTAGCATGTGCCACACAAAACCAGTCCAACTTGGACTCGGAACTGACCAAGGGGTGACTACTAGGGATGTAAAAGTGCAGTTAAAATAGAACTGTATAATTGCTTAATATCATAGCGGTTACACGTGCCGGGGGCTTTGCTGACTCCCCTGGAGTTACTGCTATTCTGGACATGGGTATCTCCCAATCCCAGCTCTGCTAACACACCACAACCCCATTCATCTCCCAGGAGTCAAGCCGAATGGCCACACATTGTTCTGCAGCAACCATTGCTGTCCAAGGCTCGAGCCTTGACACTGACTCACCTGTGCACCTTAATCCTGATTTACAGCAGCCACTGGTATTTCTGTCCCAGCTCCCGCACACAAACTGCTCTCGTGCAGTCGGCTCAACTGTCACCTCCTTTTTGCCCCCCACTATCCTGGCCCCTGGCTCTGCCACTTCCACAGGAGTGGGGGGGCAGGCTGCTATGAATGCTGAGAGCTGGCTTCAGAGGGCCCCACCAAGAGCGGAGTGAGGGCCTTACATTGACTGTCCACTTTGCTCATATTCTCACTGTCTGCAGCTGTCACGTGCCCAGCGCTGGCCGCCCCTGGCAGAGGCTGGTTAAACTGCACTCACTGGCATGGAGACTTCGCGTATAGCTCCACCTGCGCCTTCTCCTGCGAGACGGGCTTTGTGCGGCGTGGAGCGGAGATGCTGGAGTGCACGGCCCTGGGACAGTGGACAGAGCCAGCCCCGCGCTGTGAAGGTACAGTACAGGCTGCCCTGCAGGACTGGCTTGGGGAAGCTGCTTCTGCTCATCCAATGGGAAATTCTGGGACAAATTACACCGAGTTGGCCTTAGGAGGCCTAAACGCACAGAACTGACAAGCAGATCAAGGAAATGATAAACCCCCGTGTTCAGAGCCCCCGTGAACACTTCCAGGAAACTCTGCAGCCACCCCGCTAAAGTAAGCGAAGGCCGGGGGATTCCCAGTGCTCTGGGCTGTTCAGCTCTCGTGAAGCAGTCCGTACAGTTCTGCTTTGCTTTTCCAGCTGTCACATGCCCAGCGCTGGCCGCCCCTGGCAGAGGCTGGTTAAACTGCACTCACTGGCATGGAGACTTCGCGTATAACTCCACCTGCGCCTTCTCCTGCGAGACGGGCTTTGTGCGGCGTGGAGCGGAGACGCTGGAGTGCACGGCCCTGGGACAGTGGACAGGGCCAGCCCCGCGCTGTGAAGGTAGAGAAATAAGAATAAATATGGGCAGGGCCGGCTCAAGCCATTCCTGCGCCCCGGGCAGCGGGCGTGTGGCGCATGCGCGGTTCCACCCCCAGGCGCACGGCGCATGCGCGGCACCACCTTACAGCTGCGCACCTTACAGCTGCAATCGGGTGCACGGTGCCTGATTGCAGCTCTAAGGAGTGCCACACAGCCCCAGGCGCGTGGAGCACCCTACAGCTGCCATCAGGAGCCCCCCATAGGTTGGCGCCCCAGGCAGCTGCCCGGCTAGCCCCCCACTTAATCCAACCCTGAGGATGGGGTGTCTAGAGCACCCTTTGCTGAGCCTGCTCCACACTCTGCCCTTCTGAGATCTCCCCCAAGCACCTATCCCTTCAGCTAATACTTGCACCTCAACTGTCTGTGGCACCAACAGCCTCCATTTCACTCTGTATCCACGGCATCCCATGCTCTAAACCTCCACCACTGCACCACTCCACATCTCCGGCACCCAGGTCTAACCTCATGCACCCCCACACCTGTGACACTTCAGCACTCCATAGCCTAGTCCCTTGGCACTTCACTCTCCACCATCAAAGACCACCTCCCCACCCCCTCCAGATTTGTGCTTTAACGACCTGTGCTTTCCTGTTCCAGCTGTCAAGTGCCCAGCGCTGGCTGCACCAGGCAGGGGTCTGTTAAACTGCACTCACTTTCATGGAGACTTCGCTTATAACTCCACTTGCACCTTCTCCTGCGAGACGGGCTTTGTGCGGCGTGGAGCGGAGACGCTGGAGTGCACGGCCCTGGGACAGTGGACAGAGCCAGCCCCGCGCTGTGAAGGTAGAGGCCCAGCATTAACTTTTGGTGTCTAGTGAGTCAGTGCTGCTGGAGTCATAACGCCAGGATCCCTTCCTTCTCTCTACAAATCCTTCCTATGTAAATATCAGAAACAAAACAATGATTATACCCATGAGCTTTTGTTTAGAGAGACGCCTACAGGAATATAGTCACGGGAGCTCTCTGTTTAAGAGGATGTTACAATGATCCTCATTCTATAATATGGTAACACCTATATTATTTCTGGTGACTTTTATGAAATTGAGTGAAATCTCTATGCACACATTTTTAACAGACCAGATATATGTTTCAAAACAATTGGTCAGATGTGCTGGTTTTTGCAGATCAATGTATTTTGACTGAATGCTGAATAAAAGGTAACCAAGTACATAAATATCTCTCTGTATTCAGTCTGCTTTGCTAGGTACATAATTGGTGTGTTAATTATTCTATAACCACGGCTTCCCATATTTGTTTGACCATTCCCCAGGGAAAGGGCTATTTTTCCTTTAGGCTACCAATAGCCAAGCAGCTACTAACAGATGAGTGATTAATTCACAATTCCCCAGGAGTTTCTAATTCCGAGTGCTGCACCACCCAGGATGTCATGTCTCTGGCTCCACATCACCCCGGCACTTACCCTCCTATACTGGCATACCCATGGCATTGCACCCCCTCATGGGTTCTTCCCTTCGCAACTCATGCTCCAGCACCAACAGACCTATCCCTTAGGATGTCTAAATGTAGAGAACTGACAAGCAAATCATGGAAATATTAAACCCAACATTCAGAGTCCCTGTGAACACTGCCAGGAAACTCTGTAGCCGCTGCCATGCTAATGGAAACGAAGGCCGGGGGATTCCCAGTGCTCTGGGCTGTTCAGCTCTCGTGAAGCAGTCCGTACAGTTCTGCTTTGCTCTTCCAGCTGTCACGTGCCCAGCGCTGGCCGCCCCGGGCAGAGGCTGGTTAAACTGCACTCACTGGCATGGAGACTTCGCGTATAACTCCACCTGCACCTTCTCCTGCGAGACGGGCTTTGTGCGGCGTGGAGCAGAGACGCTGGAGTGCACGGCCCTGGGACAGTGGACAGGGCCAGCCCCGCGCTGTGAAGGTAGAGACCCAGCGTTGGCTGTGGGGTGTGTGGAATGTACCTTGCTAAGCTGGTGTGATCCCAGCTGACTTTCCATAGGAACTCCTCTCTTTTCCAGGTCTAGGGAAGACAGGTGTTGTGTCCAGTGGTTGGGAGCCAGCGTAGGGGGCCTTTTGATTTGAGGCAGCTGTGCAACATAAAGCTTCAATGAGAGAAACGTGTGTACAAGGGAGACAATGGGTCTCGAAATAACTGGTAAACCTCATTTTATGAGGAAAAAGGGTTATTCTGAGGAAAGGGTTTTCTCTCGAAATAACCTGTCTTAACAGCGTTAGTTATATCGAAATAGTGCCATAACGTGATTATGCAAATGACGTAAATCCCTGCTTCATTTGCAATTTCGAATGTCTTCATTTGCATCCCTCTCTTGAAAGAGGGTGCAAGTGTAGACATACCCTGCTACAGATGGCTCTCCTTCAGCTGCCCCCCACACTCTCCTCTGGGCCTCCTGTCAGCTAGTGTTTTTCACCATGGGCTCAATGTCAGATGTTTTCCCTTGGCTCTCTAAATCCTCTGTGTGACCCTGCCCCTGCTGGCACCATGACCCTTGGCACTTAGTCCACTCACAGTGTCACCTCACACCCGTCACCTGCTCCCTACGAGAACCAGGCACCTCAGTTACCATTGAGCCCCCGTCCCTTCTCATTTCACCACTCCACTCCACTTCTGGCTCCATGTGCTTGGAACTCTTTACCCCTGGCACCCACAGAACATGCCTGCACCCACCTACTCGTGACACTGCCCTACCCATCTACCCATTCTCCTAGTACTGCACCCAACAACACCTTCCCCTCACACATCTAGTCTCCTGCCTTAAGACTTGTGCTTTGCTATTCCAGCTGTGAAATGCCTAGCGCTGGACACCCCAGAGAGGGGCCAGCTAACCTGCTCTCAGTGGCATGGAAACTTCACGTATAATTCCACCTGCGCCTTCTCCTGCGAGATGGGATTTGTGCGAACTGGACCAAACTTGCTGGAGTGCACGGCCCGAGGAGAATGGACAGCGCACCCTCCGCACTGTGAAGGTATAGACTGTCACGTTACTGGGCCTGGCCTGGGCATCTGCTCAGGGCGAATTGCTCAAACTAGGGGCTCCGTATAGCACCAGACTGGAGACCTTCCCAAATAGGCCACAAACCAGTCCCACAGAGCGCTCCAGCTGCCAGCTTGGCCAGCCAGAAGCCTCACAAGCAAACTCCTTTGACACCCCAACTCTCTCCGGGCCCCAAACAGTCACAGGCCTAACACACAGGTGAGGGGTTTTAGAACCCAATCTCACCTTCCCAAACGAGTTCTGTCCGGTCCCAAGAAACCAGCCACAGGTCCCAGTCAATGTACACTCTGGATCTTACCCACAAGATCACGCTGGGCCAATCCTTTAGAATCTACAGTCTAAAGGTTTATTACTACAAGAAAGAAAAGCATGAGAGTAAGGTTGTTAAAGTATCATACATTACATGCATCGCATCTCCCAGTTCTTGATGCAGGCTCTTAGCAGAGATGTTATAAAATGCTATCTTAAAAGCCTCTGGTGTACGTCCTATGTCAGGATGGGTCCACAGTTCTTTCTGGCTCGTGATTCCCTGCAAGGCTGCATCTGGGATCAAGAGCTGAGCTGAAGACCAAAATGGAGGAAGCCACATGGCATATTTATATCCCTCCTTGGCTTCTTCCAAGCTGGAGAGAGTCACATGGTCAGTGGCCAGACATCTAGATTCCTTCCCAGGTGGTCACTGGTACTTAAGAGATCTATTGTCCCTGAAGCCTTGCTAATTAGCATGTCCATAGGCTGAGCTTTCCTCGCCTATTGCTCAACCACATAGAGAGAAACTTCCAGTCTCCATACAGAGCACATGTTTATAGCTCCACACATAGATATTATACAATTACCTGAATAGAATATACAGGCAGTCCCCGAGTTACGCGGATCCGACTTATGTCGGATCCGCAGTTACGAACGGGGCCGTTCCTCTCCCTGGTCTCCAGCAGACCAGGGAGAGGAAGCAAAGCGGCGGAACACGTGGGCAGTGGACAGGGCTGTCCGCTGCCCACGCACTCCGAGGCTTGGCTCTGCTTTGCCCCCCCCTTGCCCTGGTCTGCAGGCCAGGGGGACGGGGAACAAAGCAGAGCAAAGCCACGGAGCCCGAGGGCAGCAGGACAGCCAC